GCCTCAAATGACTCGCAAAGTAAGAAGTGAGTATGCGCCCTGGATTACAGAAAATATTAAGAGACATATCTACCACAGGGATTTTCTTAAGAAAAAAGCGGTCAAAACTGGATCTTCCAATTTACATGATGCTTACAAAAGAGCTCGAAATGATTTAAATAGATTGATTGAAAAGACTAAAACCGAATATTTTACGAGCATAATTAATAATACTGCTAAAAATCCAAAAGAAATGTGGAAGACAATTAATAAAATTACAAACAAAAAGTCCAAGACAACAAATATAACTAAGATCGTTGTTGATGATAAAGTGATTGAGGAGCCAGAAGTTATTGTAAATACATTTAACAACTTTTTCAATGAAATTGGAACAACTCTGGCTCAAAAATTACCAGAAAGTACAAGGACACCCGAGTCATATATTAAACCTGAGAATGACTCTACATTCGAATTACAGAATGTAACGGAGGTCGAGGTTTTTGGCATAGTTTCAGCATTATCCTCATCCAAAGCTACGGGCTATGATAGAATATCACCTAAACTTTTGAAAGACTCGGCCGGTGTGATAACCTCTAGCTTAACTCAAATATTTAACCAATCGCTGTTGACTGGTGTTTTTCCAGACGACTTTAAGGTCGCAATTATATCACCAATCTTTAAATCAGAAAGCAAATTAGAGTGCAATAACTATAGGCCAATTTCAGTACTTTCAGTTGTAGCTAAAGTTTTTGAAAAACTTATATCAAATCAATTATCAACATTTCTGGAAACAAGAGGCATACTCACACAACAACAGGCAGGTTTTAGGAAGAAAAACTCAACAGAAACATCGCTTTTAAATTCTACTAACAAGTGGTTTATTAACATGGACAAAGGATATTTAAATGGAGTTATTTTCCTAGACCTTAAAAAAGCTTTTGATTGTGTAAATCATGATATTCTAATTAGAAAACTAAAGTTGTATGGGTGCAGTGAAAATACTCTTTGCTGGTTTAAATCGTACTTAACAAATCGACGTCAGATGTGCAAAATTGGTCGTACTATATCTCAGGAACGTGTTATTCGCTGTGGTGTACCACAAGGCTCTACTTTGGGGCCGTTATTATTTTTACTTTACGTAAATGACCTCCCAAGTTGCCTATCTCATTCAATAGCTAGTATGTTCGCTGACGATACAAATTTAACAACATCTGGGAAGTCCATAGAAGATATACAAAACCAGTTAAATTCTGATTTAGAAAATATTCATACGTGGCTGTTAACCAACAAATTGACTCTTAACAAAGAAAAAACTGAGTATATGATAATTAGCTCTCGGCAACGGTTAGCGAAAATTGATGACGATCCGAAGATAAGTCTTGACGGTATTGATATAAAAAGAGTTAAACAAGCAAAAACATTAGGTATTGTCACCGACGAAAAATTACTATGGAAAAATCAAATTGACGAAATAACTACCAAAGTTTCTAGAGGAATTGGCATGTTAAGGAGAATGAAAGCCTATGTTCCCCAGGAAACTTTAAGGACTGTCTATAGTGCACTGATAATGCCACATTTTGACTATTGTAGCCTTGTCTGGGATAATTGCAGTAATTATCTACTAGAAAAATTACAAAAACTGCAGAACAGGGCTGCAAGAGTCATAACTGGAAAATCCTATGAAACTCGTTCAAGTGAGATTTTAAAAAACTTAGGGTGGCAACCGTTGCTAGACCGAAGAAAAGACAAAAAAGCATTATTTATGTTTAAAATAAGAAATAATGAGTTTCCCAAATGCCTGACGAGCATGTTTAACACTAGCAACAATAAAAACTATAACCTTCGCAGTAACGAATTAGATTTTGCACTTCCAAAGCCGAATACGAATTATTTGAAAAAAAGCTTCAGTTATTCAGGTGCTGCGCTTTGGAATGATCTGCCGAAGCGCGCAAAAGATAGAGCAATATCAGTTGGTCAGTTCAGGGCTATTCTCAATAACATGGAAGAACGAGCTTGTAAATAGAGTAATACTAATACCTTTTATAACATTTTATACCTTTTTTAGAAGTTCTTTTATAGTGTGTAATAGATGTAAAATTTTGTTTTTGTGCCTTAATTTAGCAACGGCCCCTTGAAAATCAGTCGTAATTCACTGAAGGGCCTACCGTTGTAAAATAAGATTAAATAATAAATAAATAATAATAATCTTGGACCATGACAGGAATCTCGCGAAGTCTCTCACTTTTCGATACGTAGACTGAGATGACAGTTAATTTATGATATGTTCAATAGTTGTTTAGCACATTGAAATGACCAAAGCCGGCAGAAGCAGCAGAATGTATGAATATTTGGCACGTATATATATAGGAATAATTTGAATTCATTCCAATGGGAAACGCTGTTAAGCATGCGTAGCTGTTTATGCACCATGGAGGTTAGCCTATATAAACGGTGACATGAGGAAACTGAACTCGCAAGAAATTTGAGTTTAACTTGAAAAAGGGGGGCAAAAAAACATGCCCGTTTTATCAATAGTTAACATGTACAACGTACTCAACGAAAACGAACGTATAACCTCATTAAACGAACAATCTATTCGTCGAAATGCATAGAAACTGGCCTCCGGCTCACTGGTAGAGACAGTACATCATGAATTTGCGTTTGAAATTAAACGCATATTATAATTATCACATACCGTTCCACGTAACAAACGAGCTAATTCTCATTGGTTGAGACAGAACATGAATTTTCGCCTGGTATTGAATTGACGATACAATTATAAGTTGTTCGAAATCCATTGTCAAATATTCAATATTATAATAATTTATAGAAACGCTGAAGTAACAGATTATCGATTATTAATATACCCTTAATGTTTGCACCCGAGGGAAATAGTTAATTTTGTTTTCTCGAGAATCTCAATGTTTCACGAGACGAAGTCGAGGGAAACATTGAGATTCGAAGCGGAAAACAAAACTAACTATTTCCCGAGGGAAAAGACGTTAAGTGTTTTGTTATATGGCGACGAAACAAATATCAACATTGAACAACATTCATACAACAATATTTCTAATTCATGACAAAAACTCTATAGCGTAAACGAGTTTAAAATTTTAAAAACCTATACTTAAATGGTTTCAGCAGCATATCCTGTTGCCTGTTATGTATTTTTCTTCTTTTTTACATTCTTTATTTCAACACAAAGCCACGAAAACAGTAGTTTAAATAGTATAAATTTGTGCCGCCATTTCGTTTATTTATGTACGTAGCCGGTTGGGGCGGGCAACAATTTTTCACTTATTGCCCGGGCGGAATACATTGCATTTATTTAAAGCCACGTGACTACAAATCAGCCAATCACGTTTGGTGTTCACATTAGCTATATAACAATAACGATTAATTAATGCATGGTTTACTTCGTTATTTAAGCGGAGATACCTTTCTTATAACAATTCAGTACTCGCACTCATAGTCCGTGTGTTGTGCCCCGATATCGTTCACTTTCAGTAAGCATGTCTTAGATCTGAAAGATTTTGACGCCGGGAACTAACACTTTCAAGCACGCTGAGTTCAAATCCGAAAAGTTTATTTATTATTATTTATTATTATACAATTTATTTATACACAGTAAAATTTACAGTAGTTACAAGAAAGACAATAAACTAATACTAATACTAATACTGGTTACAAGATTGCCGTGTGGGGGCTCGTTTATTCGTCGAAATACTTATTAACAGCCTTTTTAAATTTAGCCTGTGTTTGAAACTTTCTTATTTCTTGAGGAAGGCTATTCCACAATAGTGCACCACTATAACAAAAGCTTCGTTTTAAGTAATTTGTCCGTGGCTTAGACAAGTTCAGCCTCATTTCAGAATTTCTTAGGTTCTAACAGTTCCGCGAATGGAAAGGAGTTCTTGTAAATAACTGGGAACATTACTCTTAAGTGTTTTAAACATAAGACCAAGTTTAAGTTTTTGTCGTCTTAATGACAAGTTATCCCAACGCAGACTATCTAATAATACACTTGCGTCGGTATCATAACTTGATCTCATGATGACGCTGCTCGGTTTTGCAATTTTTGTAATTTAGTACTGAGTGTTTCCCCGAGGTCATCCCATACCGTGCAGCAATAGTCGAAATGAGGCTGAATGAGCGCTTGGTATATTTGTATGGATGCATCTATAGTTATAAACGATCTAACACGCTTTAGTGCACCAAAAGCAGATGCAACTCTCTTACATAGTTTATTAATATGATCATGCCAAGTAAGATGTTTAGCAATATGAACTCCCAAGGCCGGATTTCACCGATTTAACCCTAGTTATTTCATTTTCGTTGATTCTAATATTTATTTCGCTATCTATGGACCTTAATTTTTGCTTAGATCCTATTACCATAAACTCCGTTTTAACAATATTTAGACTTAATCTATTAGTAATAAACCAGCTATTAAAGGGATACGGCAATATATATTTTCATTTTTTTCATTTTAAAGAACTTTTAAAATTATATGTTAATCTTCTTTACCGATTTTGCGTAACTTTATTATTTCTTGAAATATTTTGACTTAAAATAATTTGCTGTCCGCCATCTTGGATTAATTTTTATCTCATTATCGTTGATTTTAGTGACGTCATAAGCAGGGTTAGCCATATAAAACTACATCTAAATGACCAAATATTAACACTAAGTCTTGTTTGAAAAGTCGTCAGACAGTTTTTTATTTCAAATAGTTACTGAAGTATGTGATGTTGGGCTCATAATAAGCAATTGCTCTATGGATAAAATTCTTGCGTGACCCTGCTTATGATGTCACATGCATATCCGCCAAAATCCAAGATGGCGAAAAGCTCGCTAATTTGTGATTTTTTCTGTTCAAATATCTCAAGAAATAATAAAGTTACGCAAAATCGGTAAAAGAGATTTACATATAATTTTAAAAGTTCTTCCAAATGAAATAATAAAAAAATATATTGCCGTATCCCTTTAAGCTTTTTTAACTCAGAGTTTATTACATTTTGGAGCTCACATGTTGTGTTCGCTGAATAACTTATACTCGTGTTATCAGCGAACATTCTATAGGTATAGCATGATTCAAACAATTCGGAAGGTCATTTATATAGATCAGAAAAAGTATGGGCCCCAGGTTACTACCTTGGGGAACACCACAAGTCACCGGGGCAGAATTTGACAATTGGTTGTTAACACGGCACTTTTGAGTTCGGTTGGTAAGATAAGATTCAAACCAGGTTAAACTCATTTGATAATATCATAGTTTCTTAGCTTTTGTAACATAATTTGGTGATCGATAGTGTCAAAAGCTTTTTTTAAATCAATAAAATCTACTCCATTGATTAAACCATTGTCAATATTCATGGACCAGTCACTTGTGGCTTCAAGCATTGCAGTTACCGTACTGTGTAGTGATCTAAAGCCAGATTGGCAGGAAGTTAAAATCTCATTTGTGTTTAGGTATTCATATAATTGGTCAAAAATGATTTTCTCAAAAATTTTTGCATTGGCAGGAATAATGGAAATTGGTCTGTAATTGCTTGGGTACGTTATTCTTAGGACCACTTTTGAATATTGGTGTCACCCTGCTTGCCTTCCATTCGTTTGGGAATATTCCTTCCATTCGTTTGGGAATATTCCATAGACCCACAGTTTTCTCACAAAATGCTATTTTATCTTCAATAATTTCACGACAAATGTTTCATTGTTAAACGACACGGATCGATGGCGATCATAGATATCTTATATACACTAGATAGCGCATCTCATTTAGTAAAATTGAAGCCAAGAATATTCCAGCGGTTACCCCCATTTGAATAGATGGGGCCATGTTGATCGTTCCCACTTGCTAATAAACGCTTATAAACAACACTAACTTTCATTATTTGAATAGTTTAAAAACGTATTTGGAATAGGGTTAACTTAATGTTTAAGTTCCCTGTTTAAAGAAATAGAAAACATACGAATCTTCTCATTTCATGGGAACGACCTGAGACTGCAATCACGGCTTCAATTTTTGAATTGCAGAATAATTAGATGCACTACCTAGTGTATATAAGATATCTATGATGACGATACACGATTATGTCACTCAAAAGGACCAATTTATATTAACTACATAGTCTTCCTTTTAACAAAAGACCGGTTTTGCTCGAATTATTTTGAGTTCTCCAATCTTATGCGTGTTGGACGTAAACAACATATCTTGTTACAACTTTGAGAAAGTACAGATAACGCTTTCTAAAATCCTCAGTTCTAGAGATATCTCTCTAAAATCACAAGGACATTAATGCGAAGTCTTTTGGCTATGTCACTGGCCTGAAAAATGACTCTTTAACGCGATCAAGGTATTTAAAACAAAAGTAACACGAAGCCAACGTAACGGCAAAGACAACGCTAAAATGAAATATAC